TTTGCAGGGATCCTGTGGGAGGGGAGAAGAGAGGAGAAGGGCATTTGGTGGGGAGCATCTCCGTAGGGACCCCAGCTGCCGACAGCCTGGAGCAAACACCTCCCTCCTCTTGCAGGCAGCGCCTGGTCCTGCCCACACATCCGCTTCACCTGCGCGATACCCAACCCACCGAATGCGTGCTACACCGACCGGCAGTGTCCACGGCCCAAGAAGTGCTGCCAGTCTTCATGTGGGAGGAGATGCCTCTCACCACCATCTTCCCCCCCCCTCATCTACGGTAGGGTCTTGGGAACCCCCCCACCTGTGCCCGCCTCCCCGGGTAGCAGAGGGGGTATATGGTGACAGTGGCTCTGGGCTGGGAGCTGTGTCCGGCTGCTGGAGCCTTCCACTGTCAGGCTGGTGGGGGGACTGATGGCCAAACACGTGGGCTTGGGGTTACGCTGGGCACCGGACCCAACCTCTTGTTTTCTCTCCCTTTCCCCAGAATGAGCTCCTGCTCCCGGGACAGACCCAGGGCCTTCTCAGCATCCCCGTGTCACCCCAGCACCAGCAGCTGCCCGCACTTCTGCTAAGGCTCGTCCTGCCCGATGCCAGCCCCCGGGAGGATGGGGACGGCCACCAGCCCACGCTCAGGGACCACTTCAGCTCCAGAACCACCCAGCTGAGAGCTGCCACGCAGTGCTACGTGCTGCCTGCTGCCCGCTCCCTCTGCTTCCCCACTGCTGTTCTAACAAATAAAAGAGCTTTTTCCCAGGGATGCTCGTGACGTGCATCTCCTTTCCCCACCTCCTCCTGCCTCTCTCCAGGCTCATCCTGGCACGTGCCCCCACTGCTGCTTGCACCCCACAATTTCTGCCTGGGAAGGATGATGAAATCTGTCCGGCTGCACACCCGGAGGGTGTTTAGGGGCTGGCCTGGGGGAGCAAATCCATCCAGAGGCGTACAAAAACTGGAAAGGGCAATGGGAAGGGGCTGGAATGAATCATGATGGGACACCTTGGGGGCCTCTCCCGGCAGGCTGTGGGGGCTCTGGAGAGCAGGGTGTGTGTCCCCAGGCACAGCCCGAGACGGGCAGGGCTGCGGGGAGGGGGTTCACCCTGCCTGCCCAGGGGGTGCAGGAGGCAGAGCCTCCCTGTGGGTATCCTGCTGAGGGCACATCTGGAGGGCAGAGGAGGGGGGCTTACACAGACCCAAACCCCAAGTGGTGCTGAGCCCCTCACCACTCACCAAACCTGAGCCGGGGGAGGAAGGGGGCGGGAGGAATTCAGCTGAAGAGAATTGCCTGGGGAAGCTTTGAGGCAGGGCACAAACCCACAGCTCTAGGGGGTTCTTGTAACTCTTGTACAGCTGAGTGCCGGGGCCAAAAATCCAGGAAATGCTGAGAAACATCAGCAGGAGGAAGCGTGTGCAGCAGGGTCCTATTGGGAAAAAACTCTTCCAGGAAATGCTGAGAAACATCAGCAGGAGGAGCGTGTGCAGCCAGAGGGACCAGCCCAGCATCTGCCCAGTGCGATAGCAGAGCCAGGCGCTGCCACCACGCTGAGCAAGGGCAGAGCATCACCCAGCTGCACTGATGCCCAGCAAACAGTGCCCACCACCCCTCCCCAACCTCGTTCCCTGGAGCCACAGCCGATACCAGCCTTGCATGGCCAATCATCACATTGTCAGCAAGCAGACCCAGCCCCGACTGAGAGGAGCCAGGTCTGTCCCGCATGCACTAGACAGATCAGAGAGGGAAATGAGAGAGTGCTGGATGACAGGGGATAATGAGCATTTGGGTGGCCGGCTGGAAGGAGGTATTTTGCCTCCCTCTCCTTTGACCTGCAGCTCCCAGCCAGGCAGACCCCACAAGCAGCCCAGCTCCCAGCCCCTCACACCTCCCTGCCCAGCAGGAGCTGAGATAACGATCCCCACTGCCTGGCACGTGCAAAGCAAACTGGAGAGCAGCATGAACTGGTCAGATATTTAAACCACTCACAAATGTAACAGGATGAAACCTCTAGCTGTGGGATTGCCATCTCACATGGCCCAATGCAGATACTAAAAGCTCCCTGGCCAAGGCTGAGGAGAGCTTCTGCTGGAGCGTGTCCTTCCATGGTTACCCCTATGGAGGAACTGGAGGGAGGGAGGCACAGACTCAGAAGTTACTCAGTGACTGAGAAGGAAGAAGTGCTATAGTGAAAGACCACCTCTCTGCTCAGCTCAGCCAAGGAAGGGCAGAGATAACTGGAGAGCTCATGCAGTGCCCGGAGAGGCTGGGAATGCCAGGTGATCTGGCAGGGACAGGCTGAACAAGGGCTGGGAGCTCATCAGCCAAACACAGCATAAAATCAGATGTTGCTTCTGCCCAGTACAGTGTCCGGCTGGGGGGAAAACTCTCCCTGCCACCCTTACAGCACCAGCGCACCCCTCTGAGCGGGAAGCACTGTGCCACACGAGCCGTGGGGTGACAAGGGCAGAGCCCCAGCGTTCCCCCAACCATCCCCGCACCAGGGCAGCCTGGGCTGGCACAGGCGCGTTCCCCCCCCCAGCCGGTCATCAGTCACAGATCACAGCCCTCCCTCCTGCAGCAGGACCAGCTATTATCAGCTATTAAGCAGGCATTTCCATACAGCTGGCTAATTTGATAATGCTGCAATTATCTTGGTTTGTTAACAAGATTAAATTGCTAATTGGTTTGATTAAGCACAGAGCTCCAGGCATGGGGTGCCTCTCGTGGCCCCGCACAGCCCAATGGCCGTTCAGCTCCTTTTGTCTGGCTTAGTCCATCTTCCCTCAAAAAAGGGGGGTTGGGACCAGTCACTCTGGGACCAATCCCAAAGGAAACATGCAACACTCCCTGACATCCCAGGGGATGGGATCCAGAGTGGCTCCCCAGGGAGCCGTCAGCATCGCGGAGGTAGCCTTGCTCCACACAGAAATGCACTTTGGTCCACTCCGAGATGGAGCCAGGGAGAAGTAAGGTCTCCCCCACAGCACTCCCCTTGCACACCTGAACAGCTTTTAATATTTTCTTGGAGCCTTCTCCCTGCGTCTTTTATGCGCTGGCTCAGGAGACTGGGTGATCGGGGTCTGAATACAGAACAGTTTTGTGCTCAAGAGGGATGCGAGACCTTTTCAAGAGACGATTTGAACCAGCCTAATAAGAATGACTGCAGCTTTGGAAAGCTCTGAAAAGGGAGGGTTATTTAACCAGCCTGGCCCAGGAGTGGGAAGCTGTAGTCCCACCAGGACACAGCAATCACATCAAATCCAGAGGAGAAAACACCCCGGGCTGAGCAGAACCACTCAGCAGCAGCTCTGCCCATGGCCAGGTGCTACCCACAGCCCTCATCTCCTCCGCAGAGAAGCAGCAGTCTTGCAGGTGGGAAAATGAGTCAATACCGTTCTGGTCCCCACCATATAAAGAAAAATAATCTGGTCCCCACCTCTGCAGAAAAGTAAACCATCCTCACACTGCTGAAGGTCAACAGCTGTATGAGTTCAGTCTCTGCTTTCTTCTGTGGGATGATTTAGATCGACTCAGCTCCTCACCTGGACTAAGTCACCCTTCATCCACAGGGAGAGGTGGTCAGGGCCAGAGCTGTCTCACACCAGCTGATGCCCTCCAGCATTTTCTTTCTGAAGGCACCTGGATGCCTTTTTCCTGCTCGGGAGTCTTGCCATGAACTTGCCTTGGCTCGCCTGTCCAGGCTGCACCAGTGACCCTTCCCGGTGCCCTCCCACCCTCCCCACACACAGCGAGGGGGAACACACAGCATCAGCTACGGTGGTGCTGGGAGGGCAGGGGGCGAGCCATGTCCTGGGATTACCTGGTGGAGGGAGGCTGCGTTTGCCACCGGGAAGGCTTTGCGACAGCTGGGGTGGAAGCTGTCCCTTCTCTCTGGCTCCAGTGCATCACCCCGGCCATGCACCACATTCAGCCCCCAGTGTGGGTGGGGAGCCCAGAGCAGTGGGGTCTGGCACGGGATGGGACTGTGGTCGAGGGATGCCAGAGCAGCCCACTGCAATTTCTCTCCTGCCTCAAGTGCTGCCAAGCCTTGCAAGTCGCTTGTGCTGAAGCCCTTCAATCTGGCGCAGAAACAGCTCTGTGTGCCCCATGGTGGCCAAGAGGCAATAGAGCTGTGCCAAGCTGCTTGGCTCCATCCCCCTCTTCATCCCACCAGGCATCCTCACCAGACTGCTCTCTGCTGCAGGCACACAAGGTTGTGCACCCAGGAAGCCTGTCAGACGCTGGCAGGGCTTCCCAGAGCCAGGGAACCAAAATGAAAGGAAGGCAAAAAACCGAGGCACTGGCAGCACCCTGTAGCTGGGGAGATCCCTGCATGCCAGCAGTGCCTTGTCCCCAGGCAGAAAGAGAGCAGAGGAGACAGAACCCTCTGTCCTCTGCAGTAAGGCGCAGGGAGGCACGTGTGAGAGCTCAGCAGGAGGCTGGCAGCGGAGCAGGCAGGGCTGGGGCACAGCTTCCTCTCCCATGCCCTCTCCACAGCCCCAGCTCTCGGCACCAGGGCCGGACCCGCAGTCCCTCAGGCAGGCTGCTGTCTGCATTCAGCCAAGGAGCTGGGATGTTACGCAAATAACAGCTCTGGCAAATGCTGTGATGAAGCACTTGAAGACTCACACAAAGCAGTTTGCGGAGAGGAAAACACCAGCAGCGAGCAAAGCACCTCCCATAGGCACCTGCCCTGCAACAGCCCCTGATCACACACCAACCTGCAGCACAGGTCCCACATCACGGCCCACTCACCTGCTCTGGCAAGGTTAGGGTAATAAACTCACCAGCACCCCCAAATCCACCAAGCACAGGCACCAGGGTACCTGCACACCCCCTCCCAAATGGGGCCCTCGCCTGCAGAGAGACCCTCCCAGCTGAAACCAGTGCCTCCCCACAGCAAAGTGCTGAGGAGGAGGAGGGTGGGCTATTTGTGCTATAGGGCAGCCCAGATGAGATCCTGTTACTCCCCGGCTCCAGCTGCAGAGGGGAAGCCGTTTCCCTGCTCCTTTGGGTCCCAGCACCACCTCCCTGCTAGCACCAGCAGCATCGCCCGGGGGAATTCCTGCCTTTTCAGCCCTGCCTGTGCCAAGGCGCACACAGATGCTCCTTTCCCCGACAACTATGTAGGTTAATAACATGCAATGTGATTGCAAGACACAGGGAACCGCAAAGCTATGTCAATATTTAGCTTTTACACATTTGGCTAATTGGAGAGCAACCTGTGATTCCCTCCGAAGGAGGCACGGCTGCTTCGACCCTCTCCCTCCCCTTCTGTATGTTCCTGGTTCAGATGGGATAAACGTCAGCTCATTATTTCTGGAGTTCGCTGGTCGCAAATGGTCTGTCCCAAAATGCTATTCCCCAGCACTGGATATCAGAAATTATTATACTAAATAAAGCTTCATGAATGATTCATGAAGCCGGGTTTCACATTAATCAGGGAGAGATGGGCTAAAGCAGCACAGCATTGCGGACCGCTGTGTCGTGTTCTTGCACAGGCAGGCAAATGGAGAGGTTTGGACCTTCAGGGCGCAAACCAGAGATATGGTGCAAATCAGAGAAAACCCCTGGTCCCAGTAACGGCTGGAGCCAGACCGAGCGGAGAACAAAACCAGGCAGTGGGCCATTGCCCAAATATCTTTCTGCTTCAGGAGCTCCTGTGACTCGATCGTGTTAATGAGCCCAGGGCAGTCTGCTGCTGCTCCAAGCATCCTCAGAGATGCACGACTGCTTTTCACATTAGCCCCGGTCTCTAGCACG